GCCCAGAGGGTCAGGCAATTACCACCCTATCACACAAGACAGTCTCTGCCTCAAAAGATTCCTGAAATGCTCATATATTGATCTAAAGCTGCAGTTTTTGTTAAAAAGACGACAGACAATTGCTCATTCTGCATTTAAAATCTTTTCCATTTGCTTATGGCCAGGGTACTCCAACCAGCCAGTAAAACAAGCTTCAACCAGTTCTTAGTGGGGAAAGGCAATGGAGTACCAGATCCTGGAAATAAAAGCCAAACACATCCTTTTAAAGTAAAGGAAATGGGCAAATTAAAAGTAGTCCAGAGTAAACAAAACTTAACAGTAAAGCTTAATTAACTTAGGTACATTTTAAAATGGTTTTTTTTTTGGAATCACCTACACTCACCTTTACTGGCTCCATCCCCGCCTCCTTGACCTGTCCATCTCCTCTCCACCTATCTGCTCCTTCATCCATCTTCCATCTGGCTCCCCCCCTTCTATTTATTTCAGAATCCCCTTCCGCTCCCCCATTTCTGAAGAAGGGTCCAGACCCAAAACGTCAGCTTTCCTGCTCCTCTGATGCTGCTTGGCCTGCTGTGTTCATCCAGCTCTACACCTTTTATCTCAAAGCCATATTCCTGACTTATTCAGGTCTACAAGCAGACCCACTGGCCACTGAGATCAGGGACTCACTTCTCCGCATCGAATTCCTTTTGCTGTGAGGGTGCCTGTGATGGCTCAGATGAAGTCAGAAGACACATCACCACGTTATTTGAAATCTCTACCTGATGAAGGAGCAGTGCTCCAAAAGCTTAAGTGGAGAGAAGTCTTTTTTTAAGTTGTTTTCAAGTTTAAAGGAAGGGCTGAGGGGCCACGAAGGGATTCAAATGAAGATAGCCTAGAGAAAAGTCTTCAATTCAGTTATAAAAAGTTGCTCAAGACAGATTTACCAATGCTTGTGGTTAAGAGCCAAAAGAAAGAATGTTCTCAGCTATTATAATCATTTTTTAAAATCAGAGCAGGAATTTTATCCACAACTCTGCAGATGGGAATTGTTAACTTGAATTTCCAACAAAAAAAAAAGGGAAGGAAGAAGATTTACAAAAAGAAAAAATTCCCCCTGTTTGGGTTAAGGATTAATCACAACATAACACAAGGAAAATTTGGGGAAACCCAAGATCATATATTCTATGGCTCTCTTCCCTCACTTCCTCCTCTGCCAAAACAGAGCAGTTTGAGAATTGCTCTCAGTGTGGCTACTTGTCTGGTGAATTGTAAAACAACTCTGGCTTTCTTCCAGTCTTGTAGTCCCACAGCTGCTTTTCAAAAAAAAAAGTGTACTGGTTCTGATTGAAACAACTTAATTCTTCTTTTTGGAAAAAAATCTGATCTTTAATAGTCCCTAATGGATGGAGGCAAAAAAAAAGGAAATGGATAAAAAAAAACTAAAAATTATATTTGTAAAGTCTATACATGGGATATCAAATCATTCAAAATGATCCAGGAATGAGCAAGGTTTTGCTAGCCAACTTTCTACATTTTATTAAAGTGACCAAGAAAATGATTGAGAGACCATAGCTTGTAAAAAAAGGTCATTTTTTTTTTAAAAAAAGGAGACTGATAACATGACAATTAATTAAAATTTAAATATCTTTAATACGTTTAAATAAAAGTTTACAATTGGAAGCCCAAAGGGTCATTCTATTTAAGCCACATGGTATGGGGGTGGGGGACAATTACTTCCCCAGATAAGGAAGGATGGCCATCATTTTTGAAATCTGAGTTTTCGACAAGCTTCCGATATCCAGAGCGAGGGAGGGAGCAAGGGCGAGGGAGGGAGTGAGGAAGCGAGCTCAAACTATAAAATTTACTTTCCTCTCCAAGTCTCACTGAGCATTTTCAGAATGACTTATTTTACGCTTTCAGCATTTGCAGTATGTAGCATTTTAGTGGCTACAATGCAAGTGGTTTTCTGATCAATACTAAAAGTTACAAGCATTTTCCACCAGGACAAACATCCAATCCCTGTTCAGAGTGGAGATCTAAACAAGCACTTGTCTATACTTTTAAACTCACTAACTCCAAAACATTAGACCGATGAAAGATTTTTAAAAAAAGTCTATTTTAAGCTTGGTTCAATTAAACTCTGCAAGTAGGCACAAAGTCAGAGACTAACTAAAGAAAATGGTTTTTGCGTTCTTAAACTCAAATAACTTTGGCCATTCTTTCTGCCACAAAGCTCTGTATTCATCCAGATCACTCCAGCATCTGATAAGAGATCAAGCATTAAGAGGCTGGGTGACACAGCAATTTAAAAAGGAGAGTTTTTCCAAGCCTTTCAAAAACAAAATAGCACTAAACAAAAGGGTTGTGAAGCAACAACAACCTGCATCAACACAACATTGTTGATCCTTTCATTGTGTTAAAAAAAAGGGTTTTTTAAAAAAAGGGGACACAGGGAGACTGACAGTCTTAGGGAGCAAACTCCTGAGCTTGTGCCATAGGTACCTGATAGCATTACCACCAATGAAAAAGTCAGGGGCACACGAGAAAGGTCAAAACTGCAGATATTGAGAAGCTCAAAATAGAAGCAATCGAAGGAGGATAACAGAACATTGCCAAATGAGCAGGAGAGAGTGTGGATTCAAACAAAAGGATTTAAGTGGAGGATGAAGATCAGTCTGGGAGCTAAGGTGAGGACCAGCAGGCACTGGGGTGCGGGGTAAATGTAAAGGCTGGAAAGTTGCTACTGGGTTAGTGTCTCTGGACTGGTAGAAGCACAGAATTAGTAGATACTTGCAGACATTATATATAAAAAAAAAGTGACAAGCTGCTATCTGTATCACAGATAGCAGGAACTGCAGATGCTGGAGAATCTGA